GCAGCACTCAAAAAATTCTTGCAACCATCTCTTTTACATCTTGTGGGCAAACACCAACTACTATCTGGATCCCAGAACAATGCCAGTTCAGCAAATCTAGTTAATGGTTCCTACTTCTCCACAGAAGCGACACGTTTCAGTTGCAGACTGCATGATGTCCCAGTGATGCTTATGACTCGCACTCAAGCAAATGAAATATTCATGAGCATCCTCATAGCCTATATCCTTGAGATACTTTTTTGCTCCTCCCCAGTCCTTAGGCCATGAACATTTCATTTTGTGATCATCTTCGTCAATATCTTTCCCTCTGCAGTACATTCAGCATGCATAGCATAGCAGGTCTGTAAATGTAGCTAAAAAAGCACCTGTTTTTTACACCAAGTTCAATTGCTTCAAAAATGCCCTTTACAATTGCATACTTTAACTTCTGGTCTTCAGTTGCAGTAGCAGCTATTACACTGTCATCCCCACTGTCAAGATGTCCAAGCTTATCAGTCTCATCATTTTGATGCTCTAATTCTTCAGTGGTTATTCCAGTGGATGGATCTACCAAAAATAATTGAATTAAATTTAAAAACTAATTACTTTTGATGTTCTGCATGACCCATGATACCCGTTTGGTTTTGTTTTGTGTATATGTTGTGGTTCAATTTTATGCTTGCTTCCAATTTTAATTTCGTTTGTTTCAAACTCATTACTATACATTACCATACCCAAAAACAATAGGAAAATAAAATTTGAACTAGGGAAAAAAATTAACCACAGAAAAACGTGCAATTGCAAATGGTCACGAGCAGAAGAGAAGTATACAAGAGCACTGCTCCTTTGATTAACACTTTTCAGAGAAACTTGGGTTTGGTGAGCAACAGTGCAAAAAAAAGCCGAGGAAATAAAACAATTCAGTGAATTATATTTTATTTAATTCGTGCGCTTTAAAAACTTAGCTTGCTCGCAGTCAATTTAAGTGAACTCGAGTACACGAGTTGCAGGTAAGTGATTGCATTATAGTTGGAATGCCTTTCAATATATTCTACTTGCGACTCCATCTGGCAAACTAGAAAATTAAATTCTTTCTCCGATAAGTTTTAACACATACCTTCCAAGGAATCTGTGTGTACATGTGAGCCGGTAAGTGAGGTGAAATCACTATTTGCTTCACGTTCACTAACCTCAGTTCAGCCACCGTTTATTCTAAACTCCGTCTGAGCAACAGTGCACGATTTCTTGTGCGAGAGTGTACGCCGATTTGAGTACGCGCTGTGATTGGCCCATTCTTACGTGCCATCTGATTGGTCATATATCTCGGATCCAGGTCTACTCAAGTGTCATGATGTTTGTTTTGAGTCGTTTCACGTGTTTCTCACCCCTCACCTAGCTAGAACTCGAGTAGAAATAGTTTTTTATTGATGATTGTTCTCTTATATATGGAAATAATATGTGTTTTGTGTTCTTGGAAGGACTTACAGCACACTGAAAGATATCATATTGACGGAAAAGCCAAATTCGATGTAAAATGTGAGTTGGCAAGCCTCTCGATTGCTTACGGACAGAGCAAGTTTATTTGCAACAATACTTAAGATTTATTTTAGACAAAGTTTTGTGAAATTTACCCCAATTGCAACCTACAAACCGATAAAATATCTTCAGCAGTGAACCAAACAACAGATTATCAATACATTTTTATCCATCTACCTCAAAGACCGGTCTAACCATCTAAAAAACTGAGACTGTTTCGGCAAATTTAGAGGGTTGGTTTATGGTTATCATGCATCTTTCAACCTCAAATTAACTATATGCGCCGAAATCGGCGAAGTCATCAAAATATCTTAAAGAAAGGAAGCTTGGTCTGAATAGTACACTAAAACAAGCGTAGGTTTGAAACCTTAACACTGCGAAAGTAACGAAAGTGGTTCGCAAACCTTTACGAAGCGCTGAACCTGAAAGAGCGTGATTTCTCGTGTGATCAATTTCCAATCGCGAGCATTCAATAGAATCTCTTCTTTCCAAAACTTCAAGGAGTTGAAACCTGCAATAACGACACACAAGTTGAAAAAGAGTTGGAAATAGTTATTACACAGAGATTTCAAACAACTACAGAGTAAAATTCGAAAGCTACTGAGGATCATGATTGAAATCTAACGCAATTTTCTACCAAACCTAAGTGATGCCGCCGCATGATCGCGCTAGACGATTTAAGAACTAAAACCTAAAATGTAACTTACCCTGACATATAAAATTTAAAACTACTTGTAGATTGCAATTACTCGATGAAAAAGGGTAAGCCCTCCTCGGGCTAGGTCGACATGTACAGCACTGACCTACACAAGGCTTTGCGACTTCAGTTCAAATGCTGAACCCCAACAAATCACGTATCCCCCTCCGACTTGGGCGTCGAAACCACAGTATTCGGTCAGCGGATTCGTTCTCAATTCATTTTATTGAGAAATACTTTTATTATTACTGTTATTAACGTTATTTTCATTCTTATTAATATTTTAACACCATCATGATAATTTTCTACCTCATAAATCAACCCAGAAACGCAGACTTATCTGTGGTTTTCGATTCTCAGGGGGCGAAGTAAGGCGACAAGCGTAAATACCCTCCATGAAAAAACTCAAGAACGCATGAGCTGATACAACTACAACAATACCACAACAACAAAGATTAGTGAGGCTGCCAATACCTCTATGACAAAGATCAAGAAAAAATTCATCGTTGTAACTACGATTCAGTTACGGCAGGCTTTCAAATAGACAAATTATTTCTCTTTGTCATGATTTACAACAAAGTGGCCGGTCTCTTATGGCGGACTACCCTTATAACCTTATAGTCTTCATATCACCGCCTAAGTAGACAGGTCTCAAAGGTACATCAGTTACAGCAATGTAAACTATTTCTTTACACTTTTGTTAAGTCAGGCAGGCCCGTTAGAACCTCTCCAAAACCACATAGTTTAGTTTTTTTTTCCCTCAAATGCTTCAGTGTTGCTTTCAAACCCAATAATCATTATTCGTTCCAATTAAACATTTTATTCCTTATTCATCATAACTTACTTTTTAACCCCTGACCCAATGTTTCACCCGTAAGGCCAAAAGTATTTCCCTCGTCGTCTTTCCTGGCTAATTCTGTTCGATACTTCCTCGAACCAGTTCTCAGGGAGTGATTTTAGTCATTTCATTTGCTTAGTGTTTACGCGTCATCTGTCTTTTCTTTTTTGAGCTTCCCATAGGTCTAAGTCGAAGTCTGGTTTGTGGATGGTTTACTTTTCGTGCATGCCGTATTCCCGAAAATATTTGTGTCAATTAAAAATGTTTCACAATTGAGCTTCAAGAATCATGCCTAGGGTTAGGGGTAGCCGTTGCGTTGTATCCAGGAGAGAGAAACGTTCTTCCCGGGCAGGAGCGCGGGCTCCGGTTCCCGAACAGCGGCTGGTAATCGAGCTTAGAGGAACGTGAACAGACCGTGAGCTGCGCATTGGTTTTTATAGATCGTGCCGGCATTATTTTAGACATAATTTGAGAAAAGTGGCATAAATTGTCCCGATTTATAAAACGGAGCACTGCTTGTAATTGCATATTTTCTTAATTATCGAATCCTTTTGACAGGCTTCTTGACTCTCAAATTAAAATACACGTTGCTTGATATTTGCATCCTTCAAAGCTGCGAGAGTGCTGTGCCTTGTGACCATTTGCTGGTTGTGGCCTACACGTGCTACCGGGCTTGATCGCGATCTCGTGATCTCGGGGTCTTGCGATCTCTGTGACCATTTGCTGCTTGAGGCCTACATGACCTACCGGGCTTTATCACGATCTAGGGGCCTGATAATCTGTGGTGAACTGGACTTCGCTCGTTTTCTTTTTTCACTTTTATTCTTCTGACGTACCTCAGACCAAACTAAAAAAAAAATGTCGTCCACATATGAACACATTTGTTGCTCACTTTATAGGTAGGAAATTCAAGAGAAATACGTGAGTCATAGGTTTACTTTTTCCTGAGAAAAACAGACGATTGCTGAAAATAGAGTTTATTCGAGATGCAGAAGTGTGCTTTTCTGATCGAGAAAATTAAACCTTCTAAAAGTGACATTCACATATTTTTCGTAAGAAATCTATATCAAAGAAAACCTATGAATTACTTGTACATTTTACCTTTGTTATTAAAATGAAAATACTTTACTCCTTTCTCGATGCCATGAGATGGGTCATTTCTCGTGAGAAAATTCGCTAATATTTTCCAGCCATGTGTTAAATTCTACGAAATCCTCCCGCTGACGCGAAAATGGTCAGGATGAACACCATTTTTCTCAAAACGACTTTCTAAATTTCTTGCAAAATTGCTTTCAAGAGTTGAGTCATTAATTAATCACAGAGCATAATCTAAACTAACGTTGGACTTTCATGTTCATGGAGCAACGTGCTAGGCTAATAACCTCGAAGTTTCCGCTTTAACAGGTTCTGTTTCAGATTACAGCAATGTTTCAGAAAATCCCAGAGACGTTTAGTCCCGATTACATTCAGACATGGTTTGATGCTACTCTCGTTTAAAGCGAGGAAATAACAGTTCATCGAAGCACGTCTGCTTGTCCACCCGGACAATGTGTGAACTTTAATATATGATTAAATTTTTTAATTTTAAAAAGGATTGTTGGTTTTAAAAAGATTAACACTCTCTTAATCTCGTCTGGCTGCTTTCCCTCGATGAATTTCCATTGCAGTCGAACTCGGGAACCGTGAAAAGCAGAAATATTACCTGAATAATTGTCTCTTACAAAAAAAGCCATCCAGGTGCCTCGCGTGTTCTCAACTTTATTGCGATTGGTTTTTACACAAATGTCCAATCAGAATCAGATAAACGCGTTTACGCTTTTCTGGTTTCACAAAGAAACCTTAGGACCACCGCTGATTTAACCTGCTACTACCTGTAAAAGCTAATTTTCCAGCAATCAAAGAACAAATTCAAATTCACTGCGGTAATTAAGCCTCAGCGTCAGTTCTCGACAAAAATCTGGACTTGATAAATAGCCACTGATACTAAAAACCGGTAAGGGACCTCTACGTGTGTTGACGCGAGTCTATACAAACGCTTTTCAGTATGATCTGGGAAAATTTAAGTTAAATTAGAGCGATATTGTTTAACTTTCTTAAATAGTTTATTTTGCATTCTTTTGAAAGGAGATTCTATTAACCTTATTGCATTTTAATCAGTTAGGGCAGAGGAAACTAGACTAAACAGTTAAACCCATTTTGGCCTCAAAAGATCTATTCTATGGTCAAAATCTAGTTTGAATACATGGGATAACTTTCCAAAGAAATTGGGGTGCTGTGTCGGTGGAGGGTGTTACTGAGTTAATTAAGTGAATTGGATGCAATAGAGAGATTTTAGAGCTGAACCTTCGAGAACGAAGGTTAACATTCGAAACATCAGCTTTAGAATTTATTTAAGGTGGCCAATTTACATTATCAACAGAGTTGATACAACCGAACGCTCGGAATTATATGGCAGCCAAAAAGTGAAATCAACGGTAATTTCTGAAAGTCAAATTAAGAAAAATTTTCCGGATCATTGTCAGTAGTATTTTGAGAGAGACACTCAGTTCTGTGCGTGTTGGGGAATGCATCTCATTCTCAATAGATTCTTTGGCTATTTTTAAACAATTCTTAAAATTTTCAGATCTTAGAAAAACCATATCAGAAGCTGAAGGTGTCAAATGGACACGTTCTCTAGTTTTAAGCACGTTGCTAGGGTATTGTAGCCTTCGGTAGATTACAGAATGAAAGACGACGCTATCATTGTAGAGTGTCGGAAAATTGAGAATTGAGATTGACGCCATGAAAAGTCCTCTGCGAAGGAAATCTTTACAGGCATCGTGTATGGCAACAAGGTTACAGACCAGTAGTGAGGAGAGAGTGCGATTCTTTCTTGAACTTGTATCTTGCTAAATTTTCCTAGCATGGTGCATTTTTTAAGGCCAACGCATCAGCTAGACATTATGTTTCACTGTCTTTACAAACTAGTTCTGTATTGGCGGGTGGCAAAATTAAGCCTCCTACTACCTCGCGAACCATGTTCGGTTGGTTAAAAACACTTATTTTCGCCCCTGCAGTGGCTACAGCTGTACATGTACATGATGAAACTAAAAAGAAATGGTGGTCTAAAATGATTCGAAGAGGTAACTAAATAAATCAAGGTTGCCAAAATTTAAATCATTAGTCAACTGTACTTAACCAATAATGATAGTAGAAACAAAAAACATCAGAGAGTAAGAAAATTTTCCAAATGCAATTACTTCCCACTTTAAGTAAAATCCCTCAATGGAGGTTACAATAAATGATGTAAGTACATGTGAATAGATATGCAAATTATATAAGTGGGAACAGGCGGAGCATGTACCCAAATTAGCCCTTTACTCCCAAGATCAGATTGTCAATTCTCCCCTCTAGCTGCTACAAGTTTCCTTGTAAATGAGTTGTAGCGGCGCCCGTGCGCCTCAATTTCCGCAGTATTTTTATCTTCTTTTTTTCAACTTTTACCGCATTTTACGTCACTCTCCGCTAGTTATCACGTGGCTCTAGCTTATATACGGCAAACACTTGTGTAATTTCCATAAGGCTCACAGAAATTCGACGGGCAACTTGAAACAACTTTGAGTAACTTTCAGTTACATCAGGGAACCTCCGACTATTGCTGTTTAACTCAGAACCTACAAGGGCGTTCGCCCCAACACTTCCTACCAAACAGGTCGCTTTAAGAGTTGGCACAATAAATCTCAGCCTTGTGGAAACCGTGAATCATAAATGAAGTGCTTCCAACGTCAAAACAGGTGTTTTTCTAACCTTGGGAAAGAAAGCTTTTTAAAGGCCCATTTCCAACCGAGATGCCTCGCGCGCCCGGATCATTTTTCATATATGAAAAATACGCTATTTTCCTCTTAGTTGCGGAATCGCTTTGATATCTTCTTCCATCTTATTAATTAGGGCTTTCAAAGTTCCATCTTGAATAATGTGCGAACAACAAACTATCGTAATATCCATATCAGTAAATAGTTTTTAATTCTTACATGTATCACGGTGAAAAACATCATTTGAAAAGTTGATGCCGCCGAAGAAGCGGTCTAGAGGAAGGCCGAGTCTGCCCGGCTCGGCAAAGGTTATTCGACTTCGAGAGTCTGTGTATGATTTATGGAGGGCAAGG